GATATTGTAAGTAAAAAAAAAAACACTAATAAGTGATCTAGGCAAACAAAATAGATAAATAATCTAATTTAAAAGAAAACTTTTATTAACAAACAACATACAAATGTATTTCTGGCATTAACTTGACTTGAAATTAATGTGATTCATATCGTTTTTGTGATTCATAAATAAGGAAGAGAAAGAAATGGGAAAGTACACACATAACGTGCTACAAAATAGTGCAACGCTCAAGGCAAGGTTTGTCTCTTGCCGGCTTCTGTACCTCTACCAGGAAGTAGCTACAACTTCATTCATTCTGTAGTTTATGCACGTATTGTTACTACACTTCATTTGAAAATGCGTAGAAGAACCGAGGCTCAAGCGTCAAACAATGAGCCGGTCAATGGCGATAGAAAGGTAATGCAGCGTTAACAAGAGTTAGCTTCTAAAAGCCAATACTGTACATGTGACAGCACATCTCTGTTAGCAAACAGCTAACTCACTCAACCTGTTCGTGCTCTTTGGTTCAGACTAAATGCTGCCATCACAGTATGTCAGACACGGGCTTTATCCTGCTCTCATATTGATTTTACACTAGTAACGTTATAGCGTCTGTCAGCTTTGTAGAGAGAAGAGAAGCCAAATCCCCTTTAAAAAAAACAGCAATTTTAATAATTCTTCGCATATTTACAGCTTAGTTACTTGTAACCCTATTCATATATTCTTTAACAAATACTTACTAAAGATTCTTTAATTCGGCATGCACTTAGTACAATAAAATATCAACGTTGGCCAGAACTTGGCTTATTACTCGGGAAAGGGTCAACTCTTCCACAAAGATACACAGTGGTTAACCCTGGTGAAACTAACTAAAAGTTTTGGGGTTTTGATAACAGTCAAATATTATTGCAGGCATGGAATTACCACAGACATTGCAAAGTGAGATCACAAATGTACAGTTGTGCAATTATTTTAGGTTAAAAGTGTATATGAAATGAATATATATGTAGATAAAATATATATGTTTTTACCAGCTCTAGGATGCTGAAGCCAGGTTAATGTTTGAGTTAACGTTGCATTTTCTTCTCTACATAAACTAGGAACCGGACCAAAGACTGCACAGACAAGCTGGAGGCAGAGTGTCTTACGGCTCTGTGCTCATGAACATTGGAAAATGTTTACTTTTAATCATCATCATCCCTCCGTTCCTCAACTATGCATCGCTGCAGAGAGAAGGACAGATGCTCTTGCCGAAAGGTTCTCTTATCTAAGGCTAACAAAGCCATTGCTCCTTTCAGTTTAATTTTATATTAACCTGCAAACTGTTTTTTTTTTAATGTATTTATTATCTGTGTTGAGTAGCCTCCAGTGGCAGATTGTAGGTTTTTCTATTGAGTCAAAGCCAAAATGAGAAGTCCTCTGTGAAGCATAACCTTTCTTTCTATTCCTTTCCTTCTTACATCCAGATGGCCAGGTTGTTGATGTTGGTTTGGGTCAAAAGATGCATCTTTTGTGTAAAGGACATGGAAAACCAGTTGGTAAGAAAGATAGATATTCCATAAACTGCAAGTTATAAAAACATTTCTAGCACATGGCTCCAAGTCTGTGTGCTTGCGTTTGTTTTTTAACTGAGCCCACCCTAACCAGTTTGTTTTTCTTTAGTCATACTGGATGCACCAACTGGAATGTCCTCAGGTGTTTGGTTGCATGTCCAAGAAAGTGTGGCCACACTAACAAAGGTGAGAAAATTACACTATTGCTGTGGATTTTATTGAATGTAATAAAATGTTTATATTATGTATTACTATATTAAAACAAGTGCACTTGTGAGAACTTTCTCTAGAATCAGTTACTACTAATGCGGCCATGTTGTTTGCTGTCAGGGGCATGTAGGGACAGTCCTTGCAGTGGCTCTGCCACATCCTATCTGCTCAACAGGGACTCAGTACAGCAGAAAGTTGGGGCTGACAGTCTGCCCCATGTTGTTTGTCTGAAATGTGACCCAAATGAGGTCACAGGCTTGTTGGGGAAGGGCCTAGATACATCTGAACAACTCAATCGCATAAGCAGTGACAAAACAAAGTTACAGTGCACTGTTTACACCAGTATCTGTGTCTTACTTTTCAGTGTTACTCAGCCTTCATGCATTTTTAAAGTGCCAACACAGGATAGGGTGGGGGCGGAGTTCCTATTGAGAGCATCTTATGTGTCTGTAGAGCATGGTGTTATTTAAAAATGCCTCTAAACCTATGGTGTCCCTGTTTTTCACACTGCTCAGGTCTGTACCTATGACAGGATGGGACTGGGCTTTAGCAAGCGGCTGATGCCAAATGAAACCACAGGAACTGAGAAAGTTTGGGGAATGTCAACGACTGGAAGGTTAGTATACTACTGATTTTGAGTGCATGTGACATAAAATGAGGGCTAACACGTTTTTGCCATGTATGCTACTGTGCACAAAGTCCCCAGTCTTGTTTGAGCATAACAACCCAAAGAACAGCTGCAGCCAATTGTAATTTTATTACTGATTCATCAAAAAATTATTTTTAGTCTAAATGTCAGAAAGCTGTCAGAAATGCCCATTACAATTTCCCACAGCCCAAAAAGATGTTTTTATATTGCTTGTTGAGCTCAGTCTCAAATATATTTATTTTACTTAGATATAAAAAAGAGAAAATCCAGTCTGTACATTTGAGAAGCTGGGATCAACAGTGATGGTCGGTTCACCACTTTGGTCCAGACTGAAATATCACAAGTTTTAGTTTGGATTGCCATAAAGTTTTGTACAAATCCAGAGGATGAAACCAGCTGACTTTTCCTGTTGTGCCACCAGCAGGTCACAGTGTTTACTTATGGAAATATTTCAACGTCTGCTAGATGGACTGGAACAAAATTCCGAGAGGATGAACTCTAATGACTTTGATCCCGCTGTGTTTCACCTAGCACCATTATCAAGTCAAATTTTCAATTTGTCTAAAACGTTGGTTAATAACTAAATACCTGCACAGTGAAAGACATTTCCATCAGCCTCAGCAGTGCTTTGTGTTAGCATGATAACCGGCTAGACTAGTGGTTTTCAAACTGGAGTTCGGGGACCAATAGGGGTCCTTGAGTAGGTTGTAGGGGGTCCTCAACGAAAGCAAGAATGGAATATTGAAACTTTTATCGCTATATTTGGAAGTTGGAATCAAGGGAAGAAATAGGTTTGGCTATTTTTATTGATTGTAATTTATAGTGATCCCAGTTTGATCACTGACTATGAAGACAACGCACAGTAAAGGGCCACAGGTCGGAGTCGAACCCAGGGCTGCTGCAGCAAGGACTCAGCTTTGGTACATGGGATGCCAGCTCTAATAGGTGAGCTATCCAGGCACCCTGGAACCATGGGATTTTTACTCAGAAATTGACTTGGATGATTCATGATTTATGTGAAATATCTGTTAAATAAATTGATAATTTCAGCACTACAGCCATCAGATTGTTTGACAATTACACTGCGTCAAGCTAAACACCAAGCCTGTTACACTACATACAGTGCTATTACACACATCAGATTCAGTTTTTTATTATTTACCACTGTACAGTAATTATGCACTGGCAATCAATATTTCCTTGATAATGTGGCTGCCAGAGATTCTCATTAATGTTCCAGGCAGCATAGACTGATGTGTGCATGGACATCTGCTTTCCCCTGCTGAGGAAGCCCTGCCCTGCCTCACACTGCTGTGGGATTGGGCTGTGATCTTCCTTCCCTTGACATCTTAGTGTGTTTGTTGAGCCTTAAATCTGCCTAAGGGAGGGGCAGTCTAGTTCACCTTGGCATCTGGCCCGGAAAGCGAACTGTTGCCCATTTCAGATGCAAGCAATCAATTTCCCAGAATTCAATATCTCAAGGAGTTTGATGAGTACCTAACCTTAACCCTTGGAGTCTTGTGAAAACTCTTCATTTCAGTGTGACACCTCAGGTTTGATTTATTAGCACAACAAACCCAGGACAGCAGATGGCTCTCAGAGAGGAGCTGCTGCGTCTCATGTAATGGTGATGCTGCCTCTGATGATATAAGTTTGCCGGGGATTGTTTGTCCTGCGGGTTGCACTGAAAAGGAGCCAGCAGTCCCCTCCTTTATAGTGTCATTTGGGATTCAGCAGTGCTGTTTTTTTGGTCCCATGTCTGGAGAGAGATTAAATGGAAAACTAAAAATACTGCTGACCTTAACTTTCATTCAGTTGTTACCATTCTTAATTTAGGATACGATTTGTAACACTTCTTATTTTCCTCCTTGGGTTTTTTTATTTTAGCTTTTTCGTAATGACTCCCCAGTGGGTTCTTAATAAACCTGTTAATGAGCAGATTAGAGATTAATGAGATTAATGATGGCCTGTCATATTCATCTTTCATGCTGGGAGTCTTAGTCCAAGCTAGCCGAATAAATAAACCTCTTGGCCCAGTTTGTAGCATGTCCTGGTTTTGTGTGGAGACCGATTAGTGTTGTTGTCTTCCAGGATGGTGGATGATCTCCACAGACTCCTGCAGGCTGCCGGGATAGCCAAGCCCTTCATCCTGGTGGGCTCTGAGCTCGGCGCGCTCAACGGCAGGTTTTACAGCCACATTCACGATGTGTAAGTATTGAATAATGGAAATACCTAAAGGATAGCTCTACCATGTCGACACATTAAGGCCAGTTTACTGTACTTGTCATGAGGGGTACTACTCAGCTTGTGAAAACAGTTGTATAATATAATCTGTGCCTACTGTTAAGTCTCGGCTTAGTTGAGGGCTGAAAATTTATAACAGAAAGCCTGCATAACAAACTGGGGGCTTAGAGTTTGAAAGATTTGTAGAAGTGATTTATTTACTAAACATTTTGACCATTCTTGTTTCATCTGTATCTTAGGAGTCTCCCAATGAATTAAAGTGCAGTATTTAATTGCTGAAATACCACTTTAATAATAACAGAATCTATGTAATCCAGTATATAATAACATTTGATGGCTGGTTTATGACAGATTACAACTATAAAACTGCTTATTTATATATAAGTATATATATAATATAGCTCTATGGCTGTGTGGGTCTCTTCATGGGATTTGTTGATGATATAAGAATATAGAATATAACCAGAATTTTCTTTCAAGTGTACAAAAGTGACTAATCTATGATAACATTTAAAAATAGGCAATCTTATTAAAGCATATCGTATGCAATGCTTCCCAAACTTGCACTTAACAAAAAATATATTCCAGTGTCCATTCCTATCATCCCCCATAACTCATCCATCTCAGAGACAACGTAGTGATTAACGTGACAAGCAGTCCGTACCAGGGATGAAAGATTTAGTATTTAATCAGGCACAATGTTGCAGCCGTTACGAGAGAAAATTAAGTAGTGGTGAGTGGATGACACCTTTCCCAATGGAAATATTGCCCCTGGATATGGTGTACGTGTGGTCATCTGTCTGTAGGGACAGAGGACAGATGAATCCACAGAAAGGCAGTTGGGATGATGACATCCATCTCACACTCATTACGGCCCGGGCCGGAAGGGTACAGTGGACAAGGGTAGTCAATGAGTCTTACTTCATCTGAGTGTGCGTGTCCTCTCTTTGTCCTCAGGCAAGTGTCAGACCTGGTGCTGATTGATCCCATCCCAGAGGACGTTTTTGAGGAGGACCAATGGAAAGAGTACTGGTGAGTTTATAGCTGCTTTCAGGGATGTAGGAAGGACAGAACTGGGGAAAGAGGAGAAGGAGGAAGGAGCAAGATGAGGGAAAAACATAAGAGGAGAGAAGATGGAGAGATGTTAAAGTAGCAGAAACTGGGGAGGGATGTGAAAGAGCGGAATGGAAAAGAAGATTGAGAAAACAGGAGCGTGGAAAGGAGCAGAGAGGACGATAAGGAGCTCTGAGGGGCAGAGAGTAGCAGATAAAACACGAGAGGCAGGGAAGAGGTGCAGAAAAAAGGGAAATGTTTCAAGAAAAGGGGGATTAGGATGAAGAGAGTGGAGGCAGAGACGCTGTTTCATGAGTCAAGCTCCAAACTCTTCCCTCATTGGCTTTTATGGCGAGAAGAGTTGATTATCTTCGCTGGGTGGGGCTCATTAGCATGATTAATTGGAGGCCAAAGAAACTCATTAGCTGATCGCACTCTTTTAGCATGAAACAGATGAGGGGAGATCGGGGGTTGTGGCGGTGGTCGGGACTGAGTGACAGCAAGTGTAATAACACTGCTTTAATCCTCCAGGCGAGATATATGTCAAGTGGTAGTCATTGTCACAGCATATATCTCATTATGCATTAATTATCATACCGGGGGGGGGGGGGTTATTAATGATAAGCGAGAGTGTAGAGGAGGAATGTTGGTAGAAAGAAGTGTCAATTGTGCAACACTAACACTATCTCAGATTGTTTACAAGTAAAGCATGTCATGTGTAATCATTAAAAGGTATTTCACTGCTGAAGAGACTTTAATTAATCAGTTATATAATTTAGAAACGCATGCTAAGCTTTTAGATGTAGCTGACAGCCTAGCAGCGATAGCAACATAATAAACAAATCTCTGGAGTGCATCCGTAGTGTTTTGTTTTGTCACACACAAAGCAGATCAAAAGGCTTTCCTTGCCTAAATCCCATTAGACATTTTTATTGCAACATAGCAGTGTCCGTTGTTTGAAATGTATCTTCGCCTGTAAATAATTACCTAAACAATTTGGGATAAAATAAGTGAAAACTAATTATTTTTCACACCATTTTTACCAAACAACAGCCATGGAAGTTATGCTAGTTCTTACCTTTTTTGTTTAGCTGCAGTGCTGTTCTCATAGTATATTATATTTTGTGATGTCTTGTAGAAACCAGCAGGGAGTTGATGTGTGCTTCGATATCATAGACGTGTGGTAAAATCAAGTAATCTCATTTTGGGCATGACTCAGTGCATCTGTAGTTGGGTCCACCAATATTAGCTCGCAGCTTATATAAGCATGAGTCAAGCCAGATAAGAAATGGATCCCTGAAAATGGCCTAATTTGTACGTGACTCAAAGTGGAGCAGCACCATTTATCAGGGGTATGTGTCCAATTATCCACTGATTAATAGGCATTCATTTCACTGAGTACATGACAGTGCAGCCACAATCCAATTATTCTGTGGAGAAGCAATGAAGAAATGAAATGAACCGAAGATTTGCATTTACTTCGTAAATTTTTTTTTTTAATCATCGGTGCCTGATTTCCACGGGGGAGTAAAAATAGAAACAGGAATGGGATATACAGTATGAAGATATGAGATGGAGCACAAATACGCACCACAGCATCCCGGTGCCAGTGGCCTTCTTCAACTTGCTTTTCTTTTTTTTTTATTCCGCAAGGTTGCATGTACGTAGGTGTGTATTTCTCTCTCTTAGATAGGGGTTTATTAGCTGTTGGAGGTCTTACAGTATTCGGTACACAAGATAAGTAATGCAGAAGGGAGCAGGGCTGCACCTGAGCAGGATTGTGGGGAGACCGTATCAGCTTTGCACTGGGACCGGAGGATTTACACATCAAAGACCTGCTCATTAACAGAGGCTCACTCCCAAAATTAGTTCTGTTACATCCTACAAAATGAATCGCCATCTCTCCTGAGAATGGCATTTTCGTGTGTGTGTGTGTGTAGGTGTGTGTGTGTGTGTGTAGGCATTCGCTCGCTTGCACTTGTTGTAAGGGGTCAGTTTTCTTATTTGGGATTTTCCTCGGCAGACACCGCGGCATGTGTCTCATTTCCTTCTGGGCATAGATAATGCTCCCTGATGAAAAATCAAGCAGCGGGTCTACCATCAGAGATTAGGAAAAGCCCCGGCGTACATCTGGACAAATTGCATTCTAGATGAGAGCCATTGGTTTGAGTCACTACAGCGCTTTGTTTCACCAGCTCAAGCAGTGGAAACTTTGCATCTCTTCACTTGAACTCAGACAGGAATATTCTCTACCACATAACCTCTCGCTATGCATGTACAGCATCCCTTTCGTTTGCTTACATTGCTGGAATAAAACACGCACTGCATTGCAGGATGCGACCATTACACCTGTATGTGACTGAAGGACATCTAATTCCACAGATATGGCCAGTGATATACTGCTGTAACAGCACACCTTCAGCCATAAAACCATCAGTTGGGAGTTCATTCCCAAGATGTTGAATGGGATTGAGGTCAGAGCTCTGGCCTGGTCTCCCTGCCCTCAAACAAGCTGTTTCTTTCGCTTAAGTCAAGTGATTGGCCCCACATGTGTCTGTGCTGGTGACTAGAGAGGATGCTTTATTTTCAGTTTCTCAGTGGTCAGCTCTCAGTACTTCTTCTACCCGAATCTCTGTACTGTTGAGTTGATTGTATTCCTATGTGGCTGTACTGTTAGGTATGAAAAAATATTTTAAAAAGGTTTCCTTTGGTGAACCAGCAGGAGAATTTTATAGTCTGCACAGCAAGAAATGGGCATATTCTGCACTGTTTGGTCAGCAGGTCAGTTTTAAATACTGCAGGGAGGAATGGTTGCTAGCACAAACTGCTAACAACAGCCTTTGCTGTGGTTTGTGTGAACCAGCACACCTGGAACACGTCATCAAAGTAAACAACTTTGCGTGCTGTCCTGTGGAAAACCATTTGTATTGTGCCAGCATGGCTTGAATGTTTGCGGCTGCTCACAGGTCAACGTGGTTTGAATATCCCCTCCCTTATCAAAAAACAGCATCGTTTTAAGAGAAAGAAACAATGCCCACATTCCTCGGTTCCAGCCGCTCATATGTGAATGTTTTTCATTATTTTAGTCTTCTATAATTGTAGAGTGTGTTTGGCTTTTGGACTGTTTGACTGTCTTTGGGAAAATGTGAGGGGAATCTTTCTGATAGCGATTAATGGATTAAATAATCAACAGATTATTAGAGCCCTACCTTAGGAACCAAGCCCAAACCATGATGACACACTTCTGGTGTTCTTTTGGTAATAATAATCAGGCTCTCTGACTCTGTTGCTGACCATCACTGGTCAGAAATTTGAACTGGAATTAGAAAAATACCAGAACCAGAATAATATACATCACTAAAGGAATTACACTGATAATTCTTTCGCCTTGTGTTTAAAAGAAGGAATTTAGCTGTGCGTTTACACACAAGTGTGTGTGTGTTTGTGTTTCCCCTGTCTCTCTGCAGCTGAGTGTGTGTGCGAGTGGAGTCTAAAACTAATTTACCCCATGGGGAATATATTTGCTCAGAGAGCAGAAACAGTGGGGAATGCTCTCGTCTAATGGGATGGTCCTTACAATTTAATGAATGCTGATTGATTGGCAAACTCTCCGTTTTAATGTACCATTACTGTGTTTAGTGCAACTCGGTCCTCACAGGAGCACCACTTGAAAGTCTCTTCATCCCTTTCCTCTGCA